TGGTTTCCCCATTGACTTTCCTTGTTAGGAGGTCACAAAAGGGGATCACATGACCCCGGGACACCGCAATACATGCCAGTTGCCAAGTGACAGGATTTTGACCCCACGATGATGGAGATGCTGCAATGGTTTGAACTGTGAAAAATGGTCCTAAAGTCACTTTTTGTCAGCTCTGTGGCAACATCAAACGGTCGCTAAACGAATGATTGTATGTCGAGGATTACCTTGAAGATGAAAGAAACCATTCCTTGTGGTAGAACAGGGCTGGAAATTTATTATCTTTCTAAAAATGAAGACTGAACTGCAAATGTTTTCAATTAACACAGAACAGCACATACCCAGGTTTGAAAATCAGGTAACACAACGATTCCCTTGAGGGTGCGGCTATTTCACTGCACTGATTTTGGCCAGCAAGGACCCAATACTGCCAGAGGGGGGGGGGAGGGAAATGATCCAATGGGATCTCTTATGAAGCATTATGGGAGAACTGCAGAGACAAAGGAACACAGGGACCACAGTGTGTGTGACTGTGTTGCCAGGCACAAAACAGTGATTTTTTTGTTGTTGTTTCTTTGTCTGAGATGGTCAGGCCCACAATTGCAAGCCCAAGCAGATGACAGCTGCCACCATAAAGAAGAGTGGATTTTTCACCCCCTCTGCACGTTGGAAGATCTTTTTGACCTCAACCGTGGGAAGAAATGGTCAGCTACATTCCTTTCAATAAAGGTCTAAGAAGTGAGTTTTAAAAGCCCTCAGGCAGAGCTTTGACCGGGTTGAGGAGAACATGGTGATCTTCAGTGGAGAGATCACTGGGATGGCCAAAGACCAGGTGTGACGTCTCCCCAGCCTGCTTGAAAACCTGTGTTTGCTAAAAATACCTACTCAAAATGTCCTTTGCCCTAAAGCATCCCTTTTCATGCTGTTTGGTTTTTTTTTTTAATGGAAATGGGAACCTGTCTAAACACTATTATCATTGCAACACCATCACTTCAAGGTCTGAAAACGCTAAGTGAAGCCAAAATAAACCTTAACAGTACATTGCCTCTTGGACAGAAAGAAGCCCGTGGGACTTCCTACCAAAAAAAATTGGCAGGCAAGCTATCTCTGGGACTATACAATACGGTACTTGGAGATCCAAAAGCAACAACAGTACATCCAGCCCTTGTCATAAAAAGGGCATTCTCTTTTAAAATGAGTTCAGCTCCTAGTTCATGGACTTTATGTACACGTCTCTGCGGTTTTCTTGATTTTCCATGGCTTTTTCTCAGATTGTTTTTCAACTTCCTGGCCCAGACCTTCCTGAAAACCAAGTTAAATCCCCCATAGTAATCATAGCAGCCTACCGTTGAGTTAGTTAATATTGTTCTACTGAGCAAATTTGCCATAAATATGTAATATAAGTGTAATACACAGTACCAAAACAAATTTAGGAGAAATAACCTGCAGGTGTTCTGGGCAGTTGCCACAATAATTTATTAGTTGTTTTTTTTTTGATCCCACCTTTATTATTTTACTTTAACGCAAGGTGGCAAACATATATAATACTACTTCTTCCTCCTATTTTCCTCACAGCAACTACTGTGAGGTGTTTTGGGCTGAGAGAATGTGACTGGCCCAAAATCACCCAGCTGCATTTCATGCCTAAGGCAGGACTAGAACTCGCAGTCACCTGGTGATTGGCCCAAAATCACCCAGCCAGCATTCACGCCAAAGGTGGGACTAGAACTCACAGTCTCCTGATTTCTAGCCTGGTATCTTAATCACTAGACAAAAATGGCTCTCAATTTGCCAAATAGCTGGAGCTGTAAGACCTCAACTGTACAGCCACTAGGTAAGATTTTGGACTGGCACTCGTGACTCAGGTTCAAATGCAGGAAAACTCTGTCATGACAATTTATTGGGTAACTCTCAGTCTGTTACTTTCTCCCATAACAACCTAGATCACAGGGCTGTTGTTGGGAAAATTTAGAGCACGGGTGTCAAACTTGCCATGTCACGTGACGTGTCACAACACATCACGACTCTTTTTGCATTGCCAGCAATGGGGTGGGCGCGGCTTTGGTATGATGAAACCGGCCCATGGGCCAGCAGTTTGACACCCCTGATTTAGGGGAACAAAGGTTATGTAAACCATCTTGAGATCATGGAGGAAAGCTGGGGTATAAATCTTATGAGTAAATAAAATACAAAACATTTGGAAGGCACCAAGAAGTAAATACTTGAATTCACAGATGCAATGACTGCAAACATCTGTCCCATTTCTTAGACTGTAGTGAGATAATTAACCTGAAGACACCCTCCTGAAAAATAAGCTAAAGCTGAACATTTGTCTACTGCATATACTGAGCTACAGTTACACTTATATTGTAAATACAGTAGAGGTTCCATCCAAATAATTGGCTGCCCTCTAATGGAACTGTCTCACCTCCTACTTTTTTTTTTTTTGACAAGTTTTAACATTCAGGCTTTTAACATTTAGCATTCAGGATTCTTTTTGAGTGTCAGTATCTTGCTGTTCTGCTTAAAAAAAATTAAAATTCCTTTTTAAAAAAATCCAAATTCTCACTGTCATTCTGATCAAATTCAACAGGTAAAGCTTTTTGCACTATGCATTATTGGCCTACTCTGTAGCAGCAACTGCCTATGAGCAAGTATAAAGCTAATATTAGACTATAAACATAGATGAATAGAATAATTTAAAGCTAGGCTTTGAAAAAACTAAGCAGTTGAAGAACGTTAGCTAAGAAAATAAAACTCCCAGTTTAGCCTGTAATCAGTGTTAATTTCTTTCTATTCAGTTAAAGAACAAAGTGGCAAAAAACCCAAACCAAACCAATTGATCTATACTTCTCCCATCAATAACTTTGATTTAGTTGATAAGGAACACCCCAAACCTCAAAGGAAGGAATTCTGGTGACTTTCCACTGTCTTTTGAGCACTATTAAATGACACTGCTTTTGACCCCTAGTAGTGACACAAATAATTAATTTTGGGGGGTTGCTAGTGAACTAATACCGGTAAGAGACCTAGGGCTCTTCAATTTATTTTGCACGGTACAATTTGTGTTTGCAGTGCGCAATGCAATAAAGTACATATTCAAGTTGTTGCACCAGTGCTGTCAATGAGGAAAAATCCAACATAAATGGACAGTTTGGCTCTAAATCCTTTGCAACATGTAGGAAGGACATGGCAACCATGCAGAAGCTTTGCCAGTATTAAGCAATCAGCAATTTCTTGAGAAAAAGCAACTATAAAAAGAAAATATGCACATAAATTTCTAGCAGAGATGGTTGAAGGAACCAAACACAGCTTCGATGTATATCTGGCCTATCATGCTGCACGTTGTCTCTTTTCAATTGCACCATACTGAAATACAACAGCCAGGAGAATTTGGACATCGTTTTTGCACCATACCTAGTGCATACATATTATGGTGTAATCTCAACCATCAGAGCAATGTGTTTAGTTCCAATGATGTATGTGTATCAGTTGTCAGAAGAATCCCTTGTCCATCTCCACTCACATTTAATATGCATTTTTCTTTTTATAGTTCCAGGCTACAGGGAAAAAAGCAGGTTTGATCGAGGGAATGCCAGGGGCTGACCTCTGCTGAAGAAGTTGCTAGTATTTTGTACGTTTGCTGCCTTGAGTTGCTTATAAAGAAATAAAGGTGGAATAAAAATGCAATAAATAAGTAAAATAAATAAATTGCTTAACACTTTGTCTACAAATTGTAAAGGATTTAGGGCCCGCTCACTTCCTGTTATTCAGGATACTGCATATAAGCGCTATGTGCTTAGAGTTTGAAGCATTCTGTTAGAGACCTGACACGCTAGATTCTGTTAACAGCTTTGTTCCTTATGCCATCCGTCTCGTAAATTCACAAGATTCTTTTTTTTTCACCATGTATATATTCAAACTAGACTGGGATGTTTCTGTCATATGTTTGTGTATGTGAGTATATGTATAATGGTATATTTTGAGAGCTGAATGCAATGAAATTTCATTTTAATGTATGCGGATTAGTGTACAATTAAAGCGACAATGAAGTTTTTATTCTATTCCTCTCAATTCACATTGGATTTCTCTTAACGTATTGCACAGGTGCAGCAACTCAGAATATACTCCATGCTTTTTTGCATAGCAAACAGAAATGATAAAGTGGAAAATACAGGTAGTCCTCGACTTACAATCACAATTGAGCCCAAAATTTCAGTTGCTAAGGGAGACAGTTAAGTGAATTTTGCTTCACTTTATGACCTTTCTTGCCAGGGTTGTTAAGTGAATCACTGCTATTAAATTACTAACAGTTGTTAAGCAAATCTAGTTTTCCCATTAATTTTGCCTGCCAGAAGGTCACATGGCCTCAGGACATTGCAACCATCATAAATATGAGTCAGTTGCCAAACATCTGAATTTATATCATGTGACCATGGGGATGCTGCAATGGTTGTTAAATGTGAAATTTGGGTCATGTCACTTTTTGCTGTGCCACTGTAACTAGGAACGGTCACTAAATGAACTATTGTAAGCCTAGGGCTACCTGTAAATCGAAGGGAAGGTAAATGAAAAGAAGTCCGGAGAAGAAGAAGAAAAAAGTTCTAATCTATAGAAAGGAATAAAGGATTAAGCACATCTGAAAGCCTTCTAAGGATTAAGCAGAGACATACTTAATTAAGAGGCCCATGAGGACATCTAGTGGAGCCTAACTATTACTTTTGAAAATATATCTTTTTAACATTTATATTTTATTGTGTTTTACTAATGTAGGAGAAATGTTAACCCATATATTGCTAGTCCGTGTACGATATCCCATGCGCTAAATAAATAGCCCTGCTGAATCCGAAGCCCAGAATTTCTCCCGGAAGGGAGTGGCTGGAGGGGGACACTCAACCTTTCACCCCCTTGTTTTCCGTCTTAGCAACTAAAGGTAGACTGCTCCTGAACTTGGAGGCTTCCCTCAGCCACGCTGGTTCAAAACCCAGGCAGGTGTTACTCACTTTTAGATCCTCCAACGCCACCACCTCGCTCAGCACCGACTCCATCACGCCCAAACACGGAAGCGGCCGCTAGACGGAAGCGGAAACCCGACATTGCTTTGACTTAGAGACTCTCGAACCATCATCTCTATGGTAACTGCTTCGCGCCATCTATTCAAGCCTCCAGGATTTTCAGCCACGCGTGCCTAAGTCCGTGCGGCTCCTTCCGGTGGAAAAACCGGAAGTCGGTCGAGAGATGGCTTTCTGCTGCTATGGCAACGCCAAGAAAGGGAGCGCTAGTGGCTTTTTGCTGCTATGGCAATGCAAATAAGGGACCGCCAATGGCTTTCTGCTGCTATGGCAACGCCAAGAAGGGAGCGCTAGTGACTTTTTGCTGCTATGGCAATGCAAATAAAGGACCGCCAATGGCTTTCTGCTGCTATGGCAACGCCAAGAGCGGACCGCTAATAGCTTGGCAGTCTCCCTTACTTTAGGACTTCAGTTCCCATCAGCCCTTGCGGCTCGGAAAGTTTCTATTCGTAACTTCAGGAAAGGAATGAGGGGGTCTACGCCCGCAGTTTGGGGAGTGGGCAAAAGAGGAGCGAAAGGCAGCCTGGCTAGATGGAAGCACATATTATGGGATGGGACAGGTAGAGGCTGGATTCCCCAAAAGGTTTAAGCCACAAATTAGGGAATAAACCATACTAGCTTGAGATTGTGTAATGTACTAACTAAACTAAATCAATGGTTCTCAACCTTGGCCACTTGAAGAGGCATGGACTTCAATTCTCAGAATTCCCCAGCCAGCATTGCTGGCTGGGGAATTCTGGGAGTTGTAGTCCACGCCTCTTCAAGGGGCCAAGGTTGAGAAACACTGTTAACTAAGCCATAAACCATGATTTACCAAGCATGCTGGCTAGGGAATTCTGGGAGTTGAAGTCCACATTTCTTAAAAGTTGCTGAGGTTGATAAACATTGCCCTACTGTGTAACATGGTGATTATTTGTGGAGCTGTCAGTCTAGTGCACGGGTGTCAAACTTGCCGCGTCATGTGTTGCGACGTAGCATGACTTTTTTTGCATTGCTGGAGCTGGGGTGGGCGCAGCCTCAGCATGAAGCAACCGGCCCGCAGGCCGCACAGTTTGACACCTCTGGTCTAGTGCAATAGCCTGCAGCAGTAGAGAATACAGGTAGTCCTTGACTTACAATAGTTCTTTTAGTGACCATTCAAAGTTACAATGGCGCAAGAAAAAGTTATTGATAGCCATTTTTCATAAGACCATTGCAGCATCTCACGGTCATGTGATCAAAATTCAGACGCTTGGAAACTGACTCATGTTTATGACGGTTGCAGTGTTCCAGGGTCATGTGATCACTTTTTGCGCCCTGACAAGAAAAGTCAATGGGGAAACCAGATTTGCTTACAAACCGTGTTACTTAACAACTGCAGTTATTCGCTTCACAACTGTGGCAAGAAAGGTCATAAAATGGGGAAAAGCTCACTGAACAATTGCCTTGCTTAGTAACAGAAATTTTGGGCTCAATTGTAGTCGTAAGTCAAGAACTACCTGTAAAAAATGTAAAAGTGGCCATTCACCCCCTGAAGTTTATCTTGCTTTACATACTAAGGATGACACTTGCTTTTTCCTGTTCCTTCTGTGGCTGAACAGAACAGCAGAAATCCCATAGAACTCTATAAACTGAGTTAAAAAAATAGTCTGTGAGCAATGAAGTTAGTTTGTCTTCTGCATTCTTCCTCTCCAGCTTCGCTTCCTTTCTAGGACAGCATCTGAAATGTGAATAAATAGCTAGCTAAGAAGCTAACGACCAAAATTTCTCAACTTAGTCTAGCTTTAGCTAGGCTAGGGCAACCATATCTGGTTCATGAAATCACCTCTAGATGTCGTCAAAGACAAGAAATAAACGAATTGTTGCCATCTAGTGAACATCTGGATTCCTGTAAATTAGGAAAAGTGCCCTAGTTTCGGATCCCTATTATTCTTTTTCTCTAGTTTGGGCCTTGATTCTGAAAAACATCCCAACTTCGTCATTATTTTGTGACAATCCATAATAGTGTTGTCTTGTAGTTTTCTCAGCTTGTATAACTAGCAAGCTTTATGGCTTAGTGTGGTTTATGACTTAACATGGCATGCAAATACAGCCAACTCTTATTTAGTCAATAAATCACAGTGGAACAAAACCATAGTTCAATCTGTCAACCTGGTTACTGGATTACAACTAAATTATTATTATTACAGGCAGTCCTCAATTTACAACCGTTTGTTTAGTGACCATTTGAAGTTATGACAGCACTGGAAAAATTGACTTATGACAAGTTTTCACACTTAAGACTGTTGCAACATCCCCATGGTCACATGATCAAAATTTGATTCTTGACAACTGGCATGTATTTATGACAGTTGCACTGTCCCAGCATAATGTGATCACCATTTATACCTTCTCGGCCGACTTCTAACAAGCAAAGGCAATGTGGGAAGCCAGATTCGCTTAACAACCGCACAATTCACTTAGCAGCTTAAGTGACTCGCTTAACAACTGTGGCAAAAAAAGGTCATAAATGGGGCAAAATTTACTTACCAACTGTCTCGCTTAGCAAGAAAAATTTAGGGCTCAATTATAGTCATAAGATGAGGACTGCCTGTATATGGGAAACGGGAATCAAATGTAGCGTGCGAAAAGGATTTTGGAATCGTTATTGATCAGAAGCGGAATATGACTCAACCATATGTCTTGACTTCTAAAAAGTGGAATTTGGTTCCCAAACCTCAGGAAGGAATAATTCTGCTATATTTTTACCTCCCTCTTGGAATAGCATGTCCCTTGCATCTCGTTCTTTTTTTTTCCTTTTTTTTTTTAAAAAAAAATTATTTAGAAACTTAACTGGGACAGTTTCAGAGAAGCATGATTCTGGATGAACGTCATGAAAAAACTTCCTAACAATAAGTAATTTGGTGGTGGAACTAACTATAAACAATTATCTAGAGAATTTGTGATTTTCACTTCATTGTTTTGGGATCAAACAGAGGCTAGGTAGCCAGCCACCTTTCAGATACATTTTAATTTGGATTAATACACTTAGCAGTGTAATAATCTAGTGACCATCACCCCAGCCATTCTTAAGAAGAGGTAAAGAGACAAAACACTGGGAAATGTTTTAATTCTAGTTGTGAGGTCATTTTCAGTCTAATTTGCACCAACACTCTTCCAATCACTTCCTATACAGGTTGTCCTTGACTTACAATCACAATTGAGCCCAACATTTCTGTTGCTAAGCAAGACAGTTGTTAAGTGGGTTTCGCTCCATTTTACGACCTTTCTTGCCACAGTTGTTAAGTGAATCATTGCAGTTGTTAAGTGAGTCTGGCTTCCCCCATTGACTTCCCCCTACCTGTGGGAAGGTGCTGTCCAAAGTGGGGTTACTTGCTCCACCCAGTGAGATCACGAAAAGCGGAATTTGGGGAGAGAGGATTTAATGCTTTGGGAAAAGAGAATTGTTTTACTTTTTTAAGGGGCAAAAAAAAGAAATATCTTGGGCGTCTGAACTCATAGGCTTGAAAAGGAAAGCTGCAAAAACTTTGGCTGGGGTACAGGAAAGGGATCCATAGCTTGAAGAAGGATGAAAAAGAAATCCTCAGGTTACAGGCTATTTGATGGAATTAAAGGTAGCTGAGCATTGAAACACACACACACACACACACACACACACACACACACACACACATACGTGGGAGAACAATATAGAAAAAAGTGACCAGATGGTCCTGTAGAATAGAATAGAATAGAATAGAATAGAATAGAATAAGAACTAGAATGGAATATAGAATAGAATAGAATGATAAAATATAGAATAGAATAGAATAGAATAGAATAGAATAGAATAGAATAGAATAGAATAGAATAAGAACTAGAATGGAATATAGAATAGAATAGAATGATAAAATATAGAGTAGAGTAGTGTAGAGTAGAATAAAATAGAATAGAATAGAATAGAATAGAATAGAATAGAATAGAATAGAATAGAATAGAATAAGAACTAGAATGGAATATAGAATAGAATAGAATGATAAAATATAGAATAGAATAGAATAGAATAAGAACTAGAATGGAATATAGAATAGAATAGAATGATAAAATATAGAATAGAGTAGAGTAGAGTAGAGTAGAGTAGAATAGAATAGAATAGAATAGAATAGAATAGAATAGAATAGAATAGAATAGAATAGAATAGAATAGAATAGAATTATTGGCCAAGTGTGATTAGAAAAGGAATTAGAATAGAATAATAACTTTATTGTCACTTTAAATGTACACTAATTAAAATGAGATTTCGTTACATATAGCTGCCAAAGGGGTAACTAGCTCCAATATATGGTCCTGTATTTTAGCTTCTTGATTTCTTTAAGCAACAATTCGGAATTGTTCTTGATTTCCCACTGAGACCATAGAGCAGCGTTTCTCACCCAAGCAACTTTAAGAAGTGTGGACTTCAACTCCCAGAATTCCCCAGCCAGCATACATCAATCAGAATAGAGCTGGAAGAGACCTTGGAGGTCTTCTAGTCCAATCCCCTGCTCAATCAGGAGACCCTATACCAGTGGTGGCGAACCTATGGCACTCAGAGCCCTCTCTGTTAGCACACGTGCCACCACCGCCAGCAGCAGGTCCATCTAGCCACCACCGCTACCCGGAGCAGGAGCCCTGCCCAGCACAAAGGAGACAAAGTGGCTGACTAGCAAGCTCAAGTAGAGGTGGTAGAGCAGAGGTCACCAACCATTGTCGATTGGTGGACTGGAAGAAAAGGAAGGGGGAAGCATTTTACATGCGTGCATGCATGCACGGGGCCGCGAGCATGCATGTGCTGCAAATGGGGCAGGGCTAGTGCCTGCATGATACTCACTAGCCCTGCCCCGTTCTTGCGTGGTACAGCACCTTGTATCTGCACCCCGCGGTGCGACGGCTATTTTTGCTCCTTGCAACATGGTGGCCCATTTTTGTGCCCCCAGTTTTTGCATGCCAGAGGCAGTACTCAGAGGCGCCTCCCTGCCCCCCCCCCGAAGGGCACCACAATGCAGCCCTGGCACTTTGTGATAAATAAGTGGGTTTGGGGTTGCGGTTTGGGCACTCGGTCTCTAAAAGATTCGCCATCACTGCCCTATACCATTTCAGATAGGTGGCTGTCCTATCTCATATATTCGGAGTTGAAGTCCACACGACTTAAAAGTTGCCAAGTTTGACAAATGTTGTTTACAGTTCAAATGATTAGCAAACAAACGACTCTCACATTCAAATTCCATTACAAAATGTAAGCTTTCCCCCCCATCACTATGGAACCCCAGTTGTTTGTGTGATTGCAGTGAGCAAAGATAGGAGAATGTGACAATCATAGATTTGAAGCAAGTACTAACATGGCTTGGACTGGAAATCCATGTCTTCCTGTAGTTAAGACAAGTGGGGGGCAAGGAGAAAAGGCAGGGTTTCGGGGGGCTTCTAGTACTTTACCACAATTGCAAAACAATTATTTTTTCTAAAACCTCCCCTTCTGAATAACAACTCTGGAAAGAAGCGTTTATTTGCTGTGGTGTTCAGGTTGGCAATGAGCAATTTTGCCCTCAAATTACCCCTATGAATTTATTTATTATTTATTAAATTGGTTTGCCACCCAACTTGCTGCAAGGCGACTCTGGGTGGCTTAATAGAATTAAATCCTGAACAGGTTTCTTTCCCGTGCTGTGTGGTTGAAATTGTGGATTTGTGTGCTTATTATTTTGTCTTTAAAAAAGAAAAATAGAGCAAGCTGCTATGTATCTATTTGCAAAGCCCCAATTTGGATATAAAAATGCCACGGCTATTTTTTTCTTTTTAATGGGGAGGGAAGAATGGGAAGAAACTACTAGTAGAAAGATACATAGAAATGGCACGAATGGCCTGCCTCTCTGTAAAAGTGAGTGAAAAAAAACACTTCAAGTTTCTTTTTGCTCTAAGTTGGATAAACTTTAGAGATAGCCAAGCCCTGGAGAGTTTACTAGAGTGTTTCTTCGCCGAAGCATATTATTAACAGAACAGGCATCACGGAGTCGCCAAAGCAAATACACTAGGGTGGTGTTGTAATTCCAAAGTAACTTTGCCATCTTGAGATTTAACTTCTGCACTCCAGTCAGGCTCAAAAATATGGGTATGAATTGTGTAATTGGCTTGATAATACCAATTAGCTACCAGGACCTCAGGGAAAGCTGGTGCATGTGAAATTAGTTTTGTTGCAAAGAAAAGTATAGTCTAGCATTATCTTGATTTCCCAGGGTGCCCCTTTGCCCATTGAGATTGGAGAAACTTTTTCGGAAAGTAAAAATAATGGATAGTGTCAACTTTGTTTGGAAGTACTGATCTACTCAGGGGGAAAAAAAATTGGGATGGTGAAGAGCCCATGCTGGAAGGCATGGCAGAGAAGAATTGAAGAAAAAATGTCTTCTGATAAAAAGCCATTTTGTGGAATGTCAATACCTATCATGGCAGCCATGTGGTGAGAGACACATGTCCTCAAAATCTTGAGATTTGTCTACTGAACGAAATATATTCGAGCTGAGATCTGGTTTAAGAGCGTTTTCCCTGCTTTGAACACAAGACAGGCAGTCCTCAGCTTACAGCAGTTCATTTAGTGACTGTTCGAAGTTACAATGGCACTGAAAAAAGTGACTTGTGACCATTGCAACATCCCCTTGGTCATGGGATCAAAATTTGGATGCTTGGCAACCGGCTCATATTTTCACAGTTGTTGTGGCCTGGGATCATGTGAAAAGCTTTTGCGATCTTCTGAAAAGCAAAGTCAATGGAGGAAACCAGATTCACTGAACAACTGTGTCACTAATTTAACACCTACAGTGATTCATTTAACAACTGTGGCAATAAAGGGGATAAAATGGGACAAAGCTCACTTAGCAAAGACATTTTGGGCTCAATTGTGGTCATAAGTCCACCTTGATAGATAGATAGATAGATAGATAGATAATAATAATAATAATAATAATAATAATAATAATAATAATAATAATAATAATAATAATAATAATAATAATAATAATAATAAAGTTGGAAGGGATCTTGGAGGTCATCTAGTCCAACCCCCTGCTCAGGCAGGAAACCCTACACCATTTCAGACAAATGGCTGTCCAGTCTCTTCTTAAAAACTTCCAGTGTTGGCGCATTCACCACTTCTGGAGGCAGGTTGTTCCACTGGTTAATTGTTCTAACTGTCAGGAAGTTTCTCCTTAGTTCTAGGTTGCTTCTCTCCTTGATTAGTTTCCATCCATTGCTTCTTGTCCTGCCTTCAGGCGCTTTGGAGAATAGCTTGACTCCCTCTTCTTTGTGGCAGCCCCTGAGATATTGGAATACTGCTATCATGTCTCCCCTTGTCCTTCTCTACGTTAAACTAGACATACCCAATTCCAGCAGCCGTTCCTTAAATGCTTTGGCCTCCAGTCCCCTAATCATCTTTGTTGCTCTTCTCTGTACTCTTTCTAAAGTCTCAACATCTTTTTTACATCGTGGTGACTAAAACTGGATGCAGTATTCCAAGTGTGGCCTTACCGATAGATAGATAGATAGATAGATAGATAGATAGATAGATAGATAGATAGATAGATAGATAGATAGATAGATAGATAGATAGATAGATAGATAGATAGATAGATAGATAGATAGATAGATAGATAGATAGATAGATAGATAGATAGATAGATAGATTGCAATATAGTTCTATGTGGGAACATCTAAGACCACCAAAATGGGGCAGCTGCAGGTTAGAAGTCATGGTCTGATTCCTTTGCTCATAATCATGTAAACAGTACAACCCATTTAGGTTCTAGGCCAGTTTTCCCAACTACCTGATTTGTGGCCTTCAATACCCAGAATTCCCCAGCTTTAACAGGCCATTGCTGAGAATTCTGGGAGTTGGAATTCCCAATATTTGTAAGTTGGGAAACACTGGTCTACAACAAATACCTGAGACATTTAAATATGAAATATGGTACCAGTAAATAATAAGCACAGTTGTTACCTGGATAGAAGGATGCTATCTCAATTCTCCCCACTGAGTTCTTATGACAATAGGGCATTGGTATAAAATTAATATAATAAAAGTGCAACATGCTGTAGCAAGGTGGTAGAGGTTTTACATGAAGGTTGTTGTCAGGTCTAGACCAAAGATGATACGGTGAATTCCAATTGAGTCCAATTCTTTATTTGTTTACACGGTTATACCTAATAGACAAGATCTTGTCAGACTAAAGCTATAACCTTCTAACCTGATCTGATATACCCCAAGAGATCCATGTAGCAGAATCTTGCAAGTTTGATTGTGCCATGCCACTTCCCCTTCTTCTACCCATGCGAATTAGGGAAGTGTCTTACACATGCTTTCTGCTTGTTTGGGACATAAGATGTGGTATCAGATCTGGCCCGTCAAAGTCATCTTCCTTATTCTCTACAGATCCGTAAGGCATTATTGATCGTTGTTTTATGAATTTATAGCTGACTGATGGTTTAATTATTTATAACAGTCTGGTATTTTATAACTTGCAGTGTGTTTTGTTATTCCTGTGTAAACTGCTTAGACTAATCCAATAGAAGTGCCACAAAGGAAGGATGGATGGATGGATGGATGGATGGGTAGATGGATGATAAATGGGTAGATGGATAGTGTATGATAAATGGATGGATGGATGGATGGATGGATGGAAGAACTTTGTGAAAGCCAGTTGAGTGTAGGACTGGCAGAACCTGGAGATGGAGTGAAAAGGGGGATCAACCTAGAATCCTCACACAGCCACAAGTGAACTAAGTCCAGCCCCTTTGAGTGCCATTGATTCTTATCTAACTTATCTAACAAAACTTGAACTCTAGTAACTGGCCTGCAGTATTGTCTGGGATGCTACACATCCTCTCCATGACTGGTTTTCTTTGTTATCTTCTGGGAGGAGACTTTGCAGTATACATAGCAGAACAACTAGACTCTGTAATAGCTTTATATCATATAGTATCAACCTTGTTAACGCTCAAGACTCTTTTTCCCCGCTATGTATTCAAAACAGACTGTGATTTATATATACATACATACATACATACATACATACATACATACATACATATATATATATTCAATAGTATACAATCCTCGAACGCCAGCAGGAATATAAATCAGCTGTTTATTGTTAAAAAATTTAAAACAATAAAAGCAACTATTTACAATACTAAAACAAACTTAGCTTTTGCTGATCCACTGTCAGCGTCTTCAGAGCAAAGTGTTGGGGGTGGAGAGATCTCTTATAAACCTTGCTAACCTAGTTTCTTACTCATTGACCATGTGATAGGGCCATTCGTCCTGACCGACCGTAATTGCCTTAATTGTCCCGCCTCCCCTTGTTTGCACTCCAATTCCACAACTTCTCTCCCTCCCCTCCTTGTCCATCTTCTCCTTCCTGGTGTTGTTACCGATTCGGATTTTTACAGTCATTAAGGACATATATATATATATATATATATAGGATACTCCAACAAATTATCGAGTTGTAACAATCAACAACCACCCACATTCCTATAACTGACATTTCTTCTGCAAACACTCTGGGTTTCCCAACTAAGAACTTTTGAAAAAGACTCCACTTTGGCCAGTTACTTATAAAACAGCTTCTTTTTTATTTTTACAAACATAACAATTGCACGTCCTCTTATTTTGCCCCTTAATGTCCAGGTTGTGTGAAGGTTGCTGTTTCTGCCCAATAGATGGATTGAGATACAAAGAGCTGTTGTTATGCCAAAAGAGAATGCTGTGCGCAAAGTCCTGTTTTTGGAAGGATCCTAGTGGAGGGTTGTTTTCTTCACCGGCGTAAATTCCACACTAACATATTCATGGGCACCACACACCGACGCTTCTTGCTTTGGGTGATTTATTCCTGGGTTAGGGACTGTCTTGCCTATCCAAATTTCACTGGCATTTGCCAAGCTGTATGCGCAAGACACCCTGGGCATACATATCGATATAACGGGAGAACTCTTCGGACATGCTATGAACGAAAGCATTTGGCAACACATTGTCGTAGTAGTGATGACTGATTGGCTTCCCAGTTAGGTCAAATAAAAAGGGCCAGAAGCCATAGAGAGTGATGTGGTCACAGAATTCCAGAGCAAAACTGGTGAACATGAAGCCAGTGGACAGACGTATTTCTGTCATCCCTTTCTGTTTCCAATACATATCGAGGGCACCCAGGTAATGTGGGTTGAGGAAGAAAGCCTGGTGGGGCAGGCCAATATCCTTTAGGATGTGTAAAGCACGGTAGCCAAGTTCAATATGATCATGAAACGATAACGCAGGAATGAGGAAAAGGGCATTTGGGTAGGCCCGAACAGCATCTATAAAAGCCATCGGAGGACCCACCAGGTTTTTGAATCTTCAAAAGAAAAACAGGAGAGAGAAAATCCCAGAGGAAAACCACACACGCAACAATCCAAAGCACATGAACAAAATAGATTTGCAGATGTAGGAGTCCATTTTGAACTCTTTTTTTTTTTTTTAGCAAAACACCATTAAGGGGAGCTGGGAGCAAAATGATAACTTGGAGGGAGGAATCTAGAGCAGTGATGGCGAACCTTTTAGAGTCCGAGTGCCCAAACTGCAACCCAAAACCCACTTATGCATCATTGGGTGCCGGGTGGGTGTGGCCCATTGGGTGGGCATGGCTGCGGTGGTAACGGCAGACTGGGTGGGACTAAAAAGTTCAATCAATCAATTCCAACTTTGCAAGATCTTTTTTTTCCCCGCGAGAAGTTGAAATTGACTGATTGATTGAACCTTTTTTTTTTGCACACGGCGGCGGAGGCCTAAAGCGAAAAGGTTTTATAAAATCCAGCTGAAAGGCCTAGGGCTGGGACGACGGCGCATGTGTGCCCACAGAGAGGGCTCTGAGTGCCGCCTCTGGACCCGTGCCATAGGTTTGCCACCACTGATCTAGAGGGAAGAAGTTAGCAAAGGTCTGATTTTAGTCAAACTAGGCAGGTATGTTGTGTCCCTGGAGCAAAAATCAAAGATGTCACTGAGAACCTTATTCAAATAATCAACCCCATGGATTATTACCCCTTTCTTCTCCTACACGTGGGGACCCATTGACACAACAGTGAATATGAAAACAATAGCAAAAGATTACCAACAGCTAGGGAAGAAAGTTAAAGAATTAGGAGCACAAGTAGTGTTTTCATCTATACTTCCAACAAAACGCCAACATCCAATGAGGGAGCAAAGGTTTTTAGAAATGAACCACTGGCTTAAAAACTGGTGTTGTCAAAAGAACTTCAGTTTCCTAGACCATAGTCTGCATTAACTACATGAAGGGCTACTGGCAATGGATGGAGTGAACCTCACAAGAACCGGAAAGAATATATTTGGAAAATGATTCGTTCATCTTATCAGAAGAGCTTTAAACTAAAATTGAGGGGGGAGGGTCTTCAAGATATTTAGAACCTAATTCCAAGCAAAAACCATTAGATAACCAATCATATAAGGAAGTAGGAAGTAATGAGAAAGAAGAAGAAAAGGAAAAACACAATGAAGTAGAGAGTGATGGAAAAGTACCCAAGACCTGTAAAGGACTCAAATGCCTATACACGAATGCTCAACGTTTAGGGAACAAACAGGTGAACTTGAAGTACTAGTATATGAAGGTAAATATGATATACTTGCCATTACTGAACAATGGTGGGATGAAACTCATGACTGGAATGTACTGATGGAAGGATACAAACTATTCAAAAGAAACAGACCTAACAAAAGAGAAGGTGGAATTGCATTATATATAAAAGATCACTACATCTCTATAGAAATCCACAAAACCCAGGATGAAAACCTCCTAGAATCCATGTGGGTCAATATAAAAGGAAAAAAAGAATGACATTGCTATAGACATATACTATAGGCCACCTAACCAAGCAGAAGAAATAAATGAACTTTTTGCTAAACAACTAACAAATGTATGTAGGAAATATATCACAATAGTAAGGCGAGATTTTAACTACCCTGATATCAACTGAGAGACAAACTCTGCAGCGAGTGGGAGATCAAACAGATTCCTAGCCAACCTAGCTGATAACTTTGTCATCCAAAAGGTAGAGGAGGGAACTAGAGAAGAAGCTATACTGGACCTAATTCTTACTAATAGAGAAGAAGTGATAGAGGGAGTTGAAGTTGCTAGAACTTTGGGCGAGAGTGGCCACACCATATTGGAATTCAATATAATGCAAAGACAAGCAATAGAACATCAGCCAGCCAGTGTCTTAAACTTTAAAAGAGCTGTTTTTAACAAACTCAGAGAGAGTGTAAGAAAAATTCCATGGATGAAAATCCTAAAGGGGAAAACAACTCAAGAAATGTGGGAAATTTTGAAAAATATGATCATAAAAGCCCAGTCTAGCACAATACCACTGAAAAAGAAAAACAAGAAACCCAAGAAGAAACCAGCATGGTTACACAAAGACATTCTTTGTTCACAGATTGTAGTGGTTTATTGTTTGTACTTACGCATTCGCCTTACCTATTAGTAAGAACACTGGGGTTGATGGTCACTAGGTGTGTTTTCGTTCCCACATCTTCAGTTCTATTCAAGGGAGGCAGATTAAACCTGGGTGGGGGAGCGAATAGAAAACAGACACAGAGAATAATCTCAAGCCAATGCATTACTGTTATTTAAAACTGCAAAAGAAGGGAAATGGGTAGGTTCGGTCCTGTTCTTAATGGGGGGGGAGGTGGGAATTTTTGTAAGAACTTCAAACAGGCATTGTTGTTGCCAGAGTCTCACCATCCTAAATTCTTTGTGCTAACTCTTGATCCTGTTTCAAACATCTTCAGCCCAGAACCAGATGGTGAAAGAGTTTTATGTCATCTCTTGAAGAAATGGCTTCTTCCTTGCCATTTTCTTTGGATGTGCCTCCTACGTAAGGCCCTGTTTTTATCATACTGAAGGGGAGTTTTATGCTTATAGGATTCCCAAATAAGCAATGGTTTTAACTGCAAAAATACTAGAAAAGTGTCCAACAGGGAAAGGGAGGAGGAGGATGAGAAGAAGGGGAAGGAGGAGGGAAAAGAGGAGGAGGAGGAAGACAAGGAGAAGGGGAGGGGTAGGAGGGGAGGAAAGTAGAGGGGAAAAGAAAGAGAAGGGGAAGGGGAAGGAAAAGAGGAAAAAAGGAAGGAGAAAAAAAGGGGATGGGCAAATAAAGGGATGGGGAAGAAGAAAAAGAATAAATGAGAAAGAGAAAAGGAAGGGGAGGGAGAGGAAGAGAAAGAAAGAGAAGGAAGAGGGAGAGGGAGACAAGGAAAGGAGGAGGAGAAGAAAAAGGAGGAGAAGGAGAAAAGGAAGGAGAAGGAAAAGAGAAAAGAGGAAGGAGGAAAAGAAAAGGGCTGGGCAAGTAAAAGGGGATAGGGAAGAAGAAAAATGAGGAAGCAGAAGAGGCGAGGAAGGGGAGGAGGAGAGAAAGGGACAGAGGTAGGAGGAGGGGAGGGAGAGGAACAGAAAGAGAAGGAGAAGGGGAAAGAAGAAGGGGAGGGAAGGAGGAGGAGAAGGAAAAGGAAAAGGAAAAAGAGAAGGGGAAAGGGAAAGGAGATGGTGAAGGAAAAGAGGGAGGAGGAAGAGGGGGTGGGGAAGGAAAAGGAGGCGGGGAAGAAGAAAAAGAAAATGAAAGAAGAAAAGAGGAAGAGGAAGGAAGTGGAAGAGAGGCTAGGAAGAGAGAAAGAGAAAGGGAAACAGGAGGAAAGGAAGAAAGAGAAGAAAGATGGGGAAACGAGAAAGTAGCTACTCTGATAAACCAAGGAGAGAAAGGTCTCCAGAGTTCCTTACGATCCCAACCCTTTAAATTGAGCTCTCCAAGAAAAAAACAGCTACCTTATGATAAAATCAGCCTGGTCAATTTCTTGTCCACATCTGCTATCTTGCAGGATACCACCGTTGCCAATGAGGGCACATTTGCTATACTGGGCATCTGCCAATGGAAATCTCTAGAGGGCCCAGGAAAGAAGGGTGAAAAAAAAGAATTAAAAATGGATATATAAACCCCTGAATGCAAACATTTTAATGAATTGGGCCTCAATTTATCCTCCAGGTGGACTCAAAGGCAATGCAGGGACCTTTAGCAAGGATTCCCTTAAAGCAGCTTATTTCATTACATTTGTTCAAAGGGGACTTGACTTGGGATCTGACCCGTTTTAGGCAAATCATGAAATACCGCATTGGATACACAGGTAAGTCCTTGAGCCCAAATGTTCCACTGCTAACCAAGTCAGCTGTTGAGTTTTGTCCCACTTTACGACCTTTCGTGCCACAGTTGTTAAGTGAGTCACTGCAGTTGTTACGTTAGTAACGCGGTTGTTAAATAAATCCGGCTTCCCCATTGACTTTGCTTGTCAGAAGATCACAAAAGGAGATCACAAGATCCTGGGACACTGCGACCGTCCTAAACATGTCAGCTGCCAAGTGTCTGAATTTTGATTTATTTATTTTATTTATTTATTTAATTACATTTATATCCCGCCCTTCTCCTTGCGGACTCAGGGCGGCTGACAATAGATAAAATGCTAACATGTTATACATCTAATTAAAAATCAATTAAAAAGAAATATTTAAATGCGTCCAATTTAAAAGTAATTAAAACCCCTTTAAAATCCCTTAGGCCAGTCCCGCGAGCTG